GGGCAGTCTCGGGCTGTCAGCCAGCGCTCCTGGGAGCCGGGCCCTCCGCTGCCGGGGGAGCAAAGCAGGCCCCTCCTGAGGACAGCGCAGCCGGTGCGTTTTCTGTTGGCTTGGACAAACTGCTGTGCGTTTAGCGTTTGTCTGAGCTAACTTTTTTTGGCTGTCAAGAAGTGTACTGCTTCATACAGGCTCTTTAAATAATGAGGAAGCCTCTCTTCAGGCACTTCTAGATCTTGTTTTTATTTGCCAAGCATACTAACTCCTCAATTTTTATTTTTTTTTAAGCTTTACCTGTGGAAATACTAACAGTGAGGAGCCCTCTGGTAGGTTGGCTATTGGGTGTGGCTGACATGCTTGCAATAAAACATGCTTGAGGATGTGATGGTGAAGTTGTGTGTTGAAATTAGGAAAAGTAAAAGTTGATTTAAGGGAAAGGGAAACAAAGGGAGTGAGTACACTTGGCGATCAGGGAAAAGCATCATAGTAGAACAGAACTAATTTTTTTAACAGTAGGGTGATGAAGTATTTAAAAGTAAAGCTAATAATTGAGCTAGGCGAACAGAACAGACTGACTTCTTTGCATCCTAACTTTTGTTCCTGTCTGGTAAAGCCTTTGGGTTGGAGGATGTTCTCTCTTTTTTCCTTCAGTGTTGGATTGGCAGAGGTTGGGAACGTCTATCAGTCTGGTGTTGGTGTGGCCTGGTAGAGGGGAGTAAGTTATGTGAGCATCTTTCTACTGGCAGCACCTGCTTGAGAGGACAGTCACCCTAGGAAAGGGATGTTGATCAGCCTTGGGGATGTTATTTTTTCCCCCCCGTATCCAAAAGCAATACTAAAGTTAATGAAAGCTGAAGAGAAGCTGTACTCTGAGGAAGCTGAAGGCAAATACTTCACAGCTAGATATCAGGAGGAAAGGGTGTATGTACAGCTTTCATTTAGAGGTGTTTTAAACCCAGCACTGTTGAGCTCAATGAGCTGCGAGTCAGACAAGAATGGAAGCGAACCAGTTTTCTGTTGTAGGAATGAACCTTCATCCCTTCTGACACTTGAAGTCTGTTTTACAAGTATGTTGCTTCTAAGTACTAGTAGTGTGTAGTCTTTTATCCTGGTGGAGGTGCTGGGGTAAGAAACATGCTTTGTTTATCCTTTGGAATGAATGGAGGCTGGTTACTTCATGCAGTGATTGATGTTCGTTAAAGAATGGTACACAGATGCTATGAGGCATGGCTAGCTTCAAATTTGTGCCTCAAAGCAAAATGTTTGCTAATCCATCGTTGGTGCAAGATTATACTGTTTAGTGTGTGTGATAAATCTTGGTGGGACATCCAAAAGGAAAGAGAACCCACAAACCTGCGAGAGTGTTTTGTATGCAACACATATGATGTTTTCAGCAACTCAGTGGCTCTAGAACTGTGCTGACAAGAGCACTACTGGGGATATCACTGAAAAGGAAAAAACAGTTGTGTGCATTCTAGCTTGCTTCGGAGAACCAGAGAAATGTGCAGTGTGTATAATTAAAGGATGGGGTTTGGGGAGAGAGAGGAATGTTATGTTTTAATTGTAAAAGTGTTGTGCAAAGAGTAATGTCTTAATGTGGCCTTAATCTGTAGTGTTAGCTACTGGTAATTTCTAAAGTGGAACAACTCAAAACCAACTTGGTACTGAAAGAATCAACACCACCTGACTTTGGGATTTTAATCTAGCCTAGCTGTTAAGAGTGAGCTATGGGGAAAACACTAACAACCCTGAAACTCAATTAGATAGCTTGGGAACAAAAAACATGTTAGTGTTCAAATAAATAGGATTATTTATACAGTTTATATATTGTAGTTAGTTTTTTTTAATGTTGGCAATTTATTTTAATTGACAGCTCTTAACATTTGGAAAAGTAGAAAAATGGCATCAGAAGACATCACTAAGCTTGTGGAGTCACTTGCCAAAACCAAAGTGGGTGATGGACAGTTGAGCTTCAAAGGCCAGAGCCTTAAACTCAATACAGCTGAAGATGGTAAGTGTCTTCCTGAAATTCTAAAGGTTTGTGGTAAACCTCCTGCTAATCCTACACACACAAGTTGTCATAATATTAGCAGTGATGCAAGGGTGATTCACCTACAGCTGCTTCTGTGATAGAGATGTTTCCTTCCCTTCTTGTATCCTGCTTTGACCTGGTGCCCTGGCAGTGCTACAGCTGGCAGAATTGGACTTTGGCTCCCTGCTGTGTAATTCCTGTTTTCTTGGTGTTCTCTCCAAGTGCTTTTGACAGTCACTGTGCATTAGAAGTCAGTGCTCCTTTTAAAAACAGTAAGCAAGTGGGTGACAGCTCTTGGAACAAGTAGATGCTTCAAAGACCTGAACAGAGAAGGGGACTGATATGTTAGTCTGCTGCAGTAGTCCAGTTTCTTCCCAAATTCTGACCAATTTATTAGACTCTTAAGGTTTCTTTGGGGTGTTTTTTTGTGTTGTGGGTTTTTTTTTTCTGGACTATCTCTTGTGCTGGTCTATGTGTGCTTCCCAGTTAAAAATGTCTTGCAGTGACTGCTAATGTAGTAAGTATGTAGAGAATAGGTATATATTCTTAGGTCAACATCTCTGTCACACCAAGAAACAGCATGTTCTTCAGAGGGGTTATTCACTATAGTGCATACTCTTTTTACTGATTCCAAAGATGGTGCTTTTTTTATGTGCCATCTTAGTAGTGCATAGCCACTGAACAATGGGAAAGGCTTTGTAGCTTGGGAATGATAGCAAGTGCCAGTGAAAGAAGAGAGTCTGCAGCCTGCTTGTCTGGCATAGGATCACTCTAGAATTAAATTGTTCCTCCCTGACATGTTTGCTAAACGGGCATCTACTTTTGCCAGTCAGTGGGAACTTCTTGTTGACGTAGCACCAATTCCTATCAACTTTTAGCTTAGTCCTTGCATCTTTGTAGGCACATGCACTCCAGCTCCTAAACCATGTGGTGAATGGTAGAGGAATTTTACTTGCGAAGTAAGGAAACTTACTTTTGCAAATAGGATGGTTACTGGAGAATAGAACTAGAAATAAACTATGGACAGGCCGGGTGGGGGGTGGAGAATGGTCTCTCTAGTGACCTGACACTTTAGCTTAGTTCCCATTGCTGTTTCCAGGAATCTTTCAAATAATGTTGTTCAGCTGTTTTTGCTAAGGGTAGAGTTGACCAAGTATTGCTGTATCAGAGTGTTACTGTGGTACCTATGAAGGCCAACTAGACTTACTTGCTCTTTGCAGCTGAAGAAGTGATCAAGCAAATTGAGGAATTTGATGGCCTGGAAGCATTGCGGCTGGAAGGCAACACAGTGGGTGTGGAGGCAGCAAAGGTCATTGCCAAAGCCTTGGAGAAGAAATCGGAGCTCAAGGTGAGATCCTCAAATGGGTGGTGGTGAAGGGGAAGAAGTCATGGAGAAATACTGAAGGTCTATGTATGTACTTCTTGCAGTAGCCTGACTTGAGTTAGCCCCAGATCTTGCTTGGTGGTCCTTCCCAGTAGGAAGAACCACCGTATGAAACCTAGGGACTTTGGGACAGTGGGAACACTTTCTGCATCCTTAACTGTTGTTCTTCAGAAGGCTTCCAGTCTTAAAGCTGGGAAGCTGTGCAAGGAAAAGCATCTCTGGCAGAGACAGCAACTATAAACAAAGAACTGTGGCAACAAAACTTCATTTTCTAATGGAAAAGCTGGGTCATATCTTCTGCAGAATGATCAGATCCGAAGAATGAGTCTTCAAAAAATGACTGAATAGGAAAGAAATAATGGAGGAAATGCAGCAGGAGGTTTTCCCATGTCCAAGCTGTTTCCTTGCTCCTGTTCTAGCCAAATATTAGGAGGATGCTGTGCTGCTGCAGGCATTGTCCTTTGCAGGAGAGGTGTATGAAACATTCATTCACATTAATCACCCAAGTGTGGCTTTTCAACCAAGTTCAGATTGTTGAGCTCCATACCTCAGTAAAATCTGCATTTCTAATGTATCCTTCAGTTTCCTGCTGTGTTCTCCTGTGGTAATTTTCTCAGCAGAGAAGAAATCCAGCTTGAATGCAAGCAAAAATTCTTATATAGTGTTATTTACAATGTGCATTTCAGTGACTTTGTCCTTACAAGTGAAGTAATTGTAATGTTAGTTCTCGTAGCATTTTAGTACAATTAAATGACAAGCTCAAGGGAAAGCAGACAGTATTAAGCTGTCCCCAGTGATGTAATGCAGCTTGTATGTGTAAACCTCTGTACAGCTGTATTGTCCTAAGTATTTCTAATGGTTTCTATCTGTATGTTTCTTTCTTCAGAGGTGCCATTGGAGTGACATGTTCACAGGGAGACTAAGGTCTGAGATACCTCCTGCTTTGGTAAGTGAAAACTAGATCTGAGACTTCTGACTAATATAACTTCTTTTCTCACCTGTCATGCTTTTTGTGGGAGTATGTATTTTAACGCAGAGCTGGTTTTTCTTTGTTGTTAACGCTAAGTGTCTCAGAATAGGTGAATGATTCTTTTTTGCTCTTTCTGTATGAGGTGGAGAAGAGTTGATAAAAGGCCAAATGCAAGTCCATGCTAGTGAAGAAGCTTATGACTGGGGGAAACATCCTTGTGATCCTATAGATAGAATGGGGACTAAGCTTTCTAAATAAAAGTATATGGCCATCTCTTCCAAGAGCATTACAGAGCTCCCTGCCTTCTTGAGTCCTGTGAAGCAAGAACACAATAAACTCAACAGAATGAGAACAAAATTTATTTTAGCAGTGTAGAGGGGAAAACTCAGTTTGAGAAGTATGTATTTGACCTAAAAGGATGGGATAACTTCTTGGTAACTGCCTTATGGTTTTCTTTAGCTTAATTTGCACAACTTAATCTCTGGCTTTAGGTGTAAAGTTTTATTTCCCCTTGCAGCTTTGCCAAATGTCTTCAAAGTGGAAATTTTTGCAGCATCACTGTCATACCTAGCCACTACAGTGATGCTGTCACTAGAAGTCAGTCTGCTCCTTCCCACCCACTGCCATCTGTTTCCTTACAGATCTCTTTGGGGGATGCACTCATCACTGCTGGAGCTCAGCTGGTGGAGCTGGACCTGAGTGACAATGCCTTTGGGCCAGATGGTGTGCGTGGCTTTGAGGCACTGCTGAAGAGCCCTGCATGCTACACCCTGCAGGAACTCAAGCTCAATAACTGTGGCATGGGCATTGGTGGTGGCAAGGTAAGGGTTGTCCCCTTTTTTGGGAATGAGATCAGAGCCAGGACTTGGCTTCAGACTGCCCTACACAGAATCACAGAATGATTGAGGTTAGAAGGAATCTTTGGTGATCATCTGGTTCAACTCCCCTGAGTTGAAATCAAGGCAACTAGACCAGGTTGCTCAGGGCTGTGTGTAGTCAGATTTTTAATATCAAAAAATATGGCACTCTGCCAGTAAGTAAAATTCTCCTATTCCTTAATCATCCTTGAGATCCTTTGCTGGACTCCCCCCAGTATGTTTGTGTAGGAACCTGGAATTGGATACAGTACTCAGATGCATTTCACAGGGCTGAGTAGAGGAGAAGGATCACTTCCCTTGGCCTGCTGACAATGTTTTTTCCCAAGGCAGCCCAGGAACTGACTGACTTTGCTGCAAGTGCATATTGATAGCCAACTTCTCACCCATCAGGACCCCCAGATTCTTCTCTGCCAAGCTGTTTTGCCCCTAGTTGACCCCCAGCTTATGCTGGTACGTGGGGTTCTTCTTCTCCATTTACAGGACTTTGCATTTCCCTTTAAACTTAATGAGATTCTTGTTGGCCCATGTCTCAAGATACCTTTCTTCTACGTGTTTTCATGGATGCATTTCTGAAGTATGAAAAGCTCAGCTGTTTTTTCCAGGACAGGAAAACCGTTCTATCCTAATAATTAGATTCCATGTCAAGACTGCTACTGGCCTTGGAGTTGAGACAACAGTGTTACCAAGCCTAGCACTGAAGCCTGTTGGATGAAGCAGAAAACCAAGACTAATTGTTATCACTAAGACACTACATAGTTGCCTGTGTAAGAATCAGATGTTTTTAATGGGACCAATGTGTTCTAGTGCTGCAAAATTATCACTTCTTGCCTAAGACCCTAGTGTGCAAGTGTTGTAGTTACAGACAGTTTCATTGTATGCCTTCTGTAGAAGCAGGTACATTTCAGTGGTGACCAAAGTATTTCTTGAGAGCTGGATATACAAAATGTGATTGGATTCTTCAAAATGAGATGCTGAAATAGTATCAACTGCTTGTTTTATCTTTAGATATTAGCAGCTGCTCTGAAAGAGAGTCACAGGAAATCAAGTGCTCAGGGCCAGACTCTTGCTTTGAAAATGTTTGTGGCTGGCAGAAACCGCCTGGAGAATGATGGTGCCACTGCTCTGGCTGAAGCCTTTGGGGTAAGTACTAAACCAGAGCTTCTTGACAGTAAATTGGAGCAAGGCGTGCTTAAGTGCTAATGTTAAAGATAATGCATACAGAGCTCGCCTCAGCTTGGAGGCAGTGGCTGGTTGTTGGTTCACCAAAGTCGTGATATAGTTTCAGCAGTAAACAGGAGTCTTCAACAAGTGCAATTAGAAGATGACTGAATGTCTGGGTGACCCAGGTTTCCAAACACAACTTGTGGCTGTGTAAAGTAGTTACCTGAGGGAGAAATAGGCATCGTCTCACTAATTTAATAGTAGTCCTATTCCTTCTCCACCCTCTTGCTAATAGAGGTTGGGACCATCTAATTCCCCTTTCTTTTCTCCATTTCTGCTAAAAGTGACTTCTGAATTATAATTAATATTATTAGGTGTATTAACAATGATATTGCAGGTTATAGGCTCTCTTTGTAAAGAGCTGTCTGGATGTGATTTTGACTAATTGGTAATCATGGCAGAAATAAGAGTTCTTAAAGACTTTAGAGTCGCATAACGAAGTGATTTATGAGGAATTCATACTGAATGGCACTACCAAAATGGGATTTGTTACTGTGTTTTGTGACATACTGTTTAGTCCATAAATAGTGTTCATACTGATTTTCTTACGGGTTTGCTTCTTCAGTCATGGCAAAATGTACATCTTCATTAGAAAAATACCATATCCAGTGATGTTGCTTGGTCTGTTTCAGTGTTGTTGAACCACAGGTGAAGATCTAAGGTATCTAGAGCAGGCATGCTAGGAGGATGCTATTTATGACTCTTACCATCAGAGCTTTGTGTTAATGTGATGCTTGCCATGAGCCTCCAATTTCACTTAGATTTGTGTCATAATTGTTGGTAAATAATTCTGTGTAGAAGAACTAACGGAGTTTTGAGTTGGAGGAAAACAGTTTTAAGCAAATACTAAGAAGTGGGGTGCTGTACTTTTGAGTTGACGTTTCCTAACAGCTTCTTTTCATCTGCATCCTTTCCCAGATCATTGGGACTCTAGAAGAAGTCCATATGCCCCAGAATGGAATTAACCATCCTGGAATCACAGCACTGGCCCAGGCCTTTGCTATCAACCCACTGCTTAAGGTTATAAACTTGAATGACAACACCTTCACAGAGAAAGGAGCTGTGGCCATGGCAGAGGTGAGTTGTTCGGAGCAGTTGCTTTGAGTTTGTCTTCTGCCTCTCCGTCTCCTCAAATGCAGTCAGCATTAGCACCTCTGGGTTGGTGGAGCCACATGCCATGCTGTGGTGGGAAAGATGACCTTCCAGGAGTGATAGGACACTCATTTACTTGCATGTCTGTACTTTCAAATTTGTGCTGTCTTGCAGACTCTAAAGACACTTCGGCAGATTGAAGTCATCAACTTTGGAGACTGCCTGGTGCGTTCGAAGGGCGCTGTTGCTATTGCTGATGCTGTTAAAGAAGGGCTTCATAAATTAAAGGTATTGTCATCTTGCTGTTCTGCTTTGAATCTCCTTTGCAAATGCCTAGATTCTCATTTCCTGTTTTCCTGTCCATTCTCCTACCACTACTGACAATTTTGAAGCGGGATTCACTTCAGTGCAGGCTCTGTGCTCACAACTCGAAAGCGATAAGCTGTATTGTAGATCAGTGACATTGCCACATCCAGCTAAGGCTGTTCTACATGGTGTACCGGTGATCTGCATGGACTAATTGGTTCAACTCAGCAAGTGCTATTCAAGAAATCGGATAATGGAAGTATCTGCTTTTAGAACCTTTCAGAGAGTCGTGAACGAGGACTGATGTTTCTCTTCATGAACAGCTTAACATCTCTTCAGTGTTTCAGAGTTCATACAGTTAATGCTTTTTTGTTGTTAGGGCATGTATCAAAGGTCCAAATATTTTTAGTTCTTTGGCAATACCACAGGCTTCTACATCAGTATTTGCACAGGACTTGCATTTGACAACATACTAGACAGACCTAAGTCTAGTCAGTAATGTAAGTAAATTAGGATCTGTACGAACTCCTGCCAGTGGTCACAGCTGCACCAGAACAGATGCTGAACACAATTCCTAATCTTGCAAGCTTGTAGTCAAAGACAAAAAAATCAGCTGAGTGCTGATATGTATTTACATATATGAACCTGGTACAGAAAGAAGTAGTTGCTTTGTGGTGTGAGATCCCTTGTTCAGGCTTCTGCTGGTTCTACTGGAACTTATGTCTGAATGCCCCAGGAAAACTTAAGTAAGGATTCTAGTTGGAGGTATTGAGATGAACAGCCAGAAGTTAAATCCTTTTTACTAGAGCAGAAATGGTTAAGGGAGGGTAGCATAAAGCAATCATAGCTGATTCATTTCTGTTCAAGGACTGCTTCCTTTTTGCTGTTAATATTAAATCTCCTTTCAGGAAAAGATTGATTGAGCACCATGTGGAATGGTGGGGGATGGTGCCTGGCTGTTGAGTAACTTCACTCTTACTAGTCTGTCCAAACTATTTCTCTGCTGGCTGTGTTTATCAGAAGTAGTACCATTCGTAGTTTCTTTTGAAGGCCTTAACTTGGGATCTAAGCGTGCAAAATCAAATGTGCACTCCATTTAGTATAGTAGCTACCCTTCTTCAGTAAGACTTACTGCTGTATGTATTCTGGAATGCTCTTGTGAACCTCGAATAAGTGAAGATCTCCAGTCAGCTGATTGCTAAGGACTGAAGTCTGTTACCTTTTACATGAGCGGTCAGAATGGCCTGGTCTTTGTGGCTATTTTAATAAAGTGGTTGTCTTCAGTAGTGCTGTTCTTAACAATAGTATGTTTCAAAATGGCCTTTTTAGCCTATAAAGTAGGAGTATGTGTCAGATTTTGTTTCCAATTAAAAGTACTTTTTTTGCTAAGAGCCTCTTCAGATGAGAGTTTTTCCACGATGCTTGTGAGCACGTGAAGCTTATGGGGATGACAGATGTTAATAGGAATTCTGCAAACAAATGTTCTGCTTCTTAGGAGCTGAATTTGTCCTTCTGTGAGATCAAACGAGATGCTGCTCTGACTGTTGCTGAAGCTATTGAAGATAAGGCGGAGTTGGAGAAGTTGGATCTCAATGGTATGTGTTTGCTAGATCAAAGTATGTTCAGTCTGATCACAATGAAAAACCACTAGGAAGAATGTTGACAGGATCACATATTCTAGTCTTGCAATTGTCAGCATTTAAAAAATGGTACTTTGAGAGTAGCTGAACTTGGATGACCTCAGGACAGGAAGTGGTTAAATCCTGGAAGTTTTCTTAGCCATGATCTCAGCTGATTGTTAAAGTTAAGCAGTTTCAGTACATCTCGTAAGTGGAAAGGTTAAACTGATGCCTATACCTTGTGTTTTCAGTAAAACTTTTAAAATTGTTAATTGAGACCTCAGATATTTCATACTTGCAAACAAAAACCCCTGTGTGCATCTCTGCAGAAAAGTGGGATGACTTTGACCGGTGTTGACTTCTGTTGTTTGTTCCTTGTGTCACTGCATTTCAGTAGCATTGTGCCGTGTGTCCTTGTTTCAGAATTGCTGAGAACAAGAGCTGTTTATAGAACTAGCAGGAAGTCTCTCAGAGACTCTGAAGAACTGGGGGGTTGGTTTGTGTCCAAGCATTGTGTAATGCTGCAAAATTTGTTTAACAACTGTTTGATTCTGATAACTGAAGTTTGCATTGCTGCCTCTAAGGTGTTCTGCAGAAATGAAAGAAATTTCAGAAATAAGAGGTAGACAAGAATATACAGCTAAATCCTCAAGAGCAAACGTATGTGCATCTGTTAAGTCTACTACATTCCTTCTACCAATCTAGGTAACTGCCTGGGAGAAGAGGGATGTGAGCAACTCCAGGAGATCCTTGAAGGCTTCAACATGGCAACTGTGCTGGGATCTTTGAGGTGGGCAGGGTACTAGAGTTTAAATCAGAAATTTTCTGACAAATTTTGTTGCTGCTTTCATTCACCTTTCTGTTTTAAAATGAGAACTGTAACACTGCAGATGGATGTTGGTGTGCAGTGTGGAGCACAGTCACAGGATTCCATAAGCAGGATAAGCTTTGTATCTTGTTTTCATCAATGGACTTATCTTAGTGTCAGTTCTTGGTTGCATTTCTCGCTCTTTGCTTGCCATTGTCAACTGGGTGACTGAAGGCTGAGTATCCTCTTAATCTGTTGTAGATGAAGATGTACTTCTTGCAGTAAGATTTGAGGGGAAGCTGTTTTTTTTTCTTCCACTGTTCCATGTTTAAGTTCCACTGTAAAGGGATTGCAAGTGTGTAATTAATGTAGCGTGTAATTCAAACCATAGTGATGATGAAGGGGAGGAGGAGGATGATGAAGAGGAAGAGGAGGATGAAGATGAAGAAGAGGAAGAAGAGGAGGAGGAAGAAGAACGGCAGCAGCTGAAGGAGAGAGGACAGGGAGAATCAGAGTCACTGACTCCTAAGAAGATAATTGATTCCCAGGTAAGCTTACCTTACAGATGCATTCCTGTTTCCTCAGCTGCAGAAGAATAAAGGAGGAAATGAGATCTGGAGTGAGTCTGAACTTGGAGTGCTGGCAGGAGTTCACCATTCCTGTGTGGGCTGGCACTGTAGTAACAGGGAGTTAACATGCAGGAAATAAAGAAAATGGATGACTAGGAAATGTGTTTTGTTAAAGTGTGCATGTCCACACACGCACAGAGGGAAAGGCTGAGTAGTGATTGTAACAAACACAGGTAGAAAAAGTCTTCCTGTGTCCAGAAAATGGTGGAAACCTTGTATGTGCAGTGCCATGCAGTCGTACTAGCATATTCTGGCTATTCCAACTCTGGGCTCATTCCAGCCTCAAATTGTTTTCAAATAGAACAAATCCTGGCCTGTGTCCTGACCTGTCGTATGTGCCTTTGCTGTTGAACCAATTTATTTACTAGCAAGAGTAGACTTGAGATGGATTCTGCCTGTTTCAGGATTCAACCCCAGTGCCAGCTCCTCCTGTGGACATTGCCACATTCCTGGCTTTCCCATCACCAGAGAAGCTGCTACGACTAGGACCGAAGTGCTCTGTGCTGATAGCTCAGCAGGTAGGTGAGCCAGTGGTCTTCTGTGCTTGATTCTCTCTCAGAATCATTTAATACCCAGAAGCGATAACTGTCTCTCTTGAGACAGATTTGCATCTTCTCCCAAGTGATCCCAAGAAATTTTATGGAAACTGTTAATGTTTATACTGGCACCATAAAGTATCTTGGACAGTGTTGCTTATGCCTTATGATATGGCCAAGACAAAACTGATGTCAGTCAGCTGAAAGCTGTAATTCTTGTCACAGCCCTAGCAGAAACCCATCTGTTGTAGCTGGTGAGCAGTGAACTAAATTACTCCTGATTTATTTTTTACATATTTTTTTCCCTTGTTTTTCAGACAGATACATCTGATGTAGAGAAAGTAGTGACAACTCTCCTAAGGATATCATCAGTTTTCAAAGATGAAGCCCCAGTGAAAACAGCAGTGCAGGAAACAACAGGTGACTGGGCCTTTCTTCACTTCATGGTGTGACCTGCCTTCAGTGTCGAGGACACCAGTGCAATACAGAGTGAGGCTCCTGTGGGCCAGGCCATTGGGCTGTTTTGTCCCTGGCAGCAGGAAACCCCAGATAACAAAGTACCAAGCTATGCCATGCTGTTGTCTGGAGTGAAAGCAGAGATTCATTCTGAGCTTAGCATATTTTGTGCTTCCAGAATATTTGTACTGAGGGAGCCCAGGAAACAGTTGAACAAGTTTTCTCATTGTGTCCTTATTTCTTTTGGTCTCAAGTTTCAAAATGTTAAGGCTCTAACTCTGGCTGCTGTACTTCATCATGTGATCATATTTATATACATGTACACACATAGCATGCAAGTTCAAATGCATTGAGTAGCACATTTGTGATGCATAGGAGTGAGGTCAAATTTGGTGTGCCTTTTTTACATTTCTGGGTGTGGGTTTTTTCATTTGTCAGGCCTTATACCTAAGGACTGGGTTTTACCTGTCTTGGTGTTTCAGAGGTTATACCTCTGTAGAGACAATTGAAATCTTGGCACATATTACCTTCCAAAACTCCTCTAACAGCTGATATTCCCTGAGGTCCAGTATGACCAATCTTGATCTTAAAATCTGTAACAGCATCTCTTTCTGTGTTGTTTAATATGATGCATTTGTTTCTTTTTAGATGCCTTGTTGAGAAAAGCCTTCACTTCTGCCACGTTTAATTCAGATGCATTCCTCACAAGCCTCTTGATCCACATGGGACTACTTAAGGTGAGGAAGCAGGAAAGAGTTAAGTTACAGTCTGTTTAGGCTGTTGAAGACCAGACTGGCTGGGTTTTGGGTAATTATGTTGCCATGGAAGCAGCTGGGTATCTGTGCATGCATGTTGCCCAGGGACAATGGAAGTCTGCAGGTCCAGCAGAAATCACAAATTGCAAGGTTGCATTAGGATGAAGGAGGTGCCAGCTCTTTGTACCTCTTCTGTTTAATGTGTTCTGTATTATCAGTCATCGCCTAAAGATAGGGAGGGCCAGGTGAGGAAGTAGTGCTGCTGCTGGACTGTGGCATCTATAAGAAGCCATGCCCAGGAGTCTAATCTACAGTATTAGTTAATGTAGTCCTTTAGGGAGCCTCTTAATAGCATAGCTCAAAAATGTATATCCAACTACTCATGCCAGATCAGTAGCATTCAGCTTCATGTTCTGAAGTATCTTTGCCAGATACTAAAGTCAAATATGTAGTTACATTAAATAAACTTTCTAACAAGAAAGGATGGAGGGGTCAGTAGGAAACCTGCAAATTTAAGGAGCACCTTTGCCTATTTGTGCTATAAAGCTTAATGTTTCTTGCTGCCTCAACATCTAGAAGCTGAGAATGGAAACTTGGACCAAGGCAATTCTAAACCACAAAATAGCCATGATCTATGTTATAGCAGCCTGCTCTTAATTAGGTTTATAGATTTTGTTCTGGTAATATCCAGCTTGGATATTGTTGACATGCTTGCATACCTCTTAACTTCCAAAAAAAAATCAGTTTAGCCTTTCATGGTGTACACTGGGCTGAACTTTACGCTTCTCAGACAGTTCAACAGAACCAGAGATGGCTTTGTGTTCTGCAGAATGCATGTTTCTGAGACTGCCACCTACTTCTTATCTCATACAGAAAATAGCAAATATGCACGAGGTACAAGTCACAGACTTGTGTTCTAGAAGAACGCTTTTAGACAAGCAACTGGCACTGATAATAAAGCCCTTGAGGAACAGCCATATGATTGTTTGTCCTCTGTGGTACAGCTGGAAGCACATGAGCAACAGCTATTCTTAGCACTGCAAAATACAAGGATCACAAGTCCAAATCCTGCCTGCAGAATGGAGGGCTTTAGTTGGGATGGCAGTGGAGAAATAAAAGAAAAAAACAATGTAAGAGTTAGGACATGTAGGTTAGCATCACAGGAGCACGAATGGCATGTAAGCAGGGGAACAGCAGCAAGGATGACTGTTAGCTTTATCTAGTACATAATTGTGAGACCAGTTGTGGGAATACTGCATCAAGTTCTGGAGGAAGCCTGCCAGAGAACTAGAGATGATACAGAAATGAGTTACAACATAATACAAGAAAAAAAAAATCATGTCATTAAGGCAACTGAATTCTTTATGAATTGAAGTTGGGTGAAATTCTTTAGCACACTTTGACACAGGGTCTACGAGAAGATTTGGCTGTTTCACTTGCAAGTTCGTTACTTTCCTTACCCCATTGCTGTTGTCAATGACTAGGCTCTAATGGATAAGTACTAGAATGTGCTTGGTGCTGCTCTATTTGAGATGCTTGTGCATGGAGTTGGCTACCTTTGTTTTGAGGAACAGTGCACTTAATCTAGTGAGCAGCTTTCTCTCCTACAGTGTGTGACAGCACTTCATTCAACAGAGAATTCATTGCCTCTGTGAATTAAAGTGGATTATATAAAACAGTGATTGCCTGGTGTCTGACTTCATCTTCTTGTCCTTTTCTCAGAGTGAAGAGAAGATCAAAGCTGTCCCAAGCCTCTATGGTATTCTAATGACCTTGAACCATGTGGTCCAGCAGGATTATTTCCCTAAATCTCTGGCCCCAGTTCTCTCAGCTTTTGTCACAAAGTGAGTATTGTACTTGCCATGCAGTCTTCTCCACAGGAGCTGGTAAAACTGAGGTTTATAGCTCCACGCAAGCTCTTGTGTTAAAGCCCACCAAGTGTCTGTTCTGAAATTAAGGATTAATACTTTGGGCCTCTACTTTTTATCTTGCTTACTCCAAAATGCAAGATTTAGAGTAAAAAGTCTTGATCCTAAAGAAGACATGGTGGAAAGCTGGCTTTGCAGCTAACTGGCTGAGAAGTAGAGACTGATGCCAGTCACAGAAGAGGTGTTTTGAGCTTAAGGAAACCTGCTGGTTTTCCAGCCACTGCTTGAGTGAACTATGAGTACACTGGATCCAACTGCTCCCTCCAAATACTCCCTTTGAGTATGAGGGTCAGCAGAGCTCTACTTGAATTGTCATGTTGCATAGCACTGAACACCAGCAGATCAAAACACTGCAAAACACAAAGACTGAATTTGTTCCTAAAGGAAACTGTTCCTGCTGTGACAGCAACAAGGCTAGTGATGTTTTGAGAACTAAATTGGGAGCATAAGTTTTGAAGAAGCTGCTTCTACTGCCTGTGTCTATTTAATGTTGCTACTTCTAGTGTAGGTAAAGAATCAACTCCTGCCCCCACCAGCTTTAGTTTCTTCAGTGTCTTAAAGCATAGATAATGCAATAGCAGCGGAAGCCATATATCTTCTGGATTAAATCAGTGTGAACTTTAGCGTTGATGTGACTTAGAAAAAGCATCCCATATAGTCCTTTCCTCAAGAGAGCAAGGACTTAAGCAGTCAAGGGGAGAAACAGTCCAAAATTGTCACTTTAAGCAAAACCAGCAGAGGCCTGAAATCTGTTTGCAACTCAGTGGCTTTTTGGTGCAGCACAGACCAGATCAGTTGAGAGTTTTTTTTAACAGGGTCCAAGAACAAGGCTTAAGCCTTTCTGATATTCCCTGGTGCAGAGAATATGCTGAAGCTTGGGATCTTGTGCTGATCTGGTGCAAGACAGAGGCATCAAATGCTTATGGTTAGTACAAAACATCAGTGATAGGGGTGCAGTCCAATATTGGTAGTCAGTCTTTTCTTAGTTCTACTGGGATTGGAGGTAGCCCCGCTGTGATAAAAGGAGAATAATTTTTCCAAGCACTGATGTGGCTGAAGCTGTCAAAGCTGATGCGTAGCAGTGGTGTGTGTCCAGCAACCAGCCACGCTAAGGTCAGTTTTGGAAAATAAAACTCAGTAATGAGCTTGTTTACACATGTGCAAGTGCTAGAGGTCCTTCAGGCGGGAACAGTTTGTTTACTGTCTCCTCTCTGGCTTGATCAGGCTAAGAATTAGGCAGTTACGAGCCAACGACCCTGTGCTGTACCAGCTGAACAAATACACCTCCAACTCACCCATTACAGGTTTAAGGAGAGGTATCAGGACTTGCCACGTGAAGTTGGCCAGACAGATCACTGGATTTCTGGTGCTGCCTGCACTGCTGCCTGTGCCTATGATCTTTCTTGTTGATCAAATAGATATGTGAAGTGTAAGGACCCAGTACCAGCCCTAAAATAGGAGTGAAGGAAATGATGGCTTACTTCATCAGGCACTAATTATGCAGAGAGCCAGCTTGATCAAAACAAGTACTGCTTAGTGTCTATCAGCCTCAGCCTTCCAAACAGAGGATTAAAATCACTTGAAGCTGGGAATACAGAAAAGAGGTCTTTGGTTCAGTGCATTTGACCCTTCTAATTGCTTATGTCAGATTCTAGTGCCCAGAGTGGCCTCCTAACTCAGCTTGACATGTCCCTCTAAACAAATTCACTCACAACAGACACTTGCCCCCTTTCCCTGTATCTGAGTATGTAGACTTCCAGACTCCAGGCCTGCAAAATACCAGTTTTTCATCTGTAGATGATGTTGTATGTGACAAAATAAGGTTAAAATTTTGGTCTTAGTGAATTCATCAACAGAAATTCCATTGAACCCAGAGCTAGGGTTTTACTACAATTACAAGAGGGGAAAGTCTCTTTCTGAATGTGAGGCATCATTCAGAGGCAAAAGTTGTGTGAGAGCCAAGAACCTCTTGCAGTAGGAGGCAGATCTGTCTGCCTGCCTTTGGTCTGTAAGGATGCCAGTACCAAGCCTGCAGTGTCCCTGGGGCTACGAAATTCTTGGAGTCAAAGCTTTCTGATTTGCAAACCCCTCTGTTGCAAGGTGTGATATTGTCATAGGGAAGCTTCTGTGCTGTGCAGCATGATGAAGTCAAAACTATAGATAAGCAATGTACCTTTGCGCTTTATAAACAAGTGTATTTCTTAAAATGCTTTCCCTTAAGGTAACAAACATAACAGTTGTTAAATCCTTTACAACTGGCAGAGAGAACGAGAGCAGTTCAAGAACCACGAAGTCCAGATAAAACAGCTACACCCCTCGTCTTTGCTTGGAATTGAGTTAACAAAATAACTTCCTAACCTCCAACCAAACCTCTTACTGGTTAACCTAATCATAGCAGAGCAAATTGTGCTCTGTTTCTGCAACAAATCTACTTCCACTCTGTCAAATCTATGAGTTCATTTGCAGCAAGCTGTTATGCATTTTTTTTTTGTATGTGGTATTTTCTAGGTTTTTACTTTAGGATCATAGTTCCTCTGGGCATCTAGAGCTTTAAAGCTCTTGTAGCTGCCTAGGCTGGAGCTCAGCTGCCTTTTGCTGCAAAGGGCTTACGTCTGGAGTAGTCATTCTTCTCCTTTCTTTTGTGACAAATTGTGGTGGTGTGCATAGTGTTATCTGTTCAAAAACAATAATAAAATTATGGCCTGTGAGCAGCATCCATCTTACCCTGCTTCTAAGTCAGGGTAAGAGGAGTCCTTATCTCTTTTGGACGCAAGAGGGTGCTGTGAAGCCACATGTGCTTTTCCATAATTCAGGCACAAACACTCAGTGTATGTGGATATCTGCCTGTCTGCTTGTGACTTGCTGGTGGTGGGAAGGGTTTTTTCCTAAGGATTTGGAGTGGGTTTTTTTGTTTTTGTTTGATTTGGGTTTTTTTTTCCCTGTTCTTTGCTATTGGACTGCACCTCGTCACTGGCCTCTTTGAATAGTCTGTAGCATGCAGCGGCAGGCATTTTAACACCACAGCAAGTGAGGAGGCTCCTTAGTGTTAGGAGTGAAGGCTGAGGGAAGAACTTGACTGTGATCAACATCAACAGTTCTCTGTTTCCAAAAACGAGGAAGCTGCCTCCACAAAATTGTCCTGCTCGTTGCAAACAGGCCTGGGTCTTCCAGAGATAACAACTGAAATACCTCACCCAGCCACTTGGAAGATTAATGACAAGTTTTAATTGTCCTGTCTTTTCAGTGTGGGGCATTGAATGGCTCTTGGGGGAGTTAAAAGGGGTTAACTCTTCTCCAGGATGTGATTCTGTTAAACCACGGTATACATGGAGCCCTATACCAAAACAACCTCTACAGCTATTGCCTATGTGCTATAAATCCAGAGATTACTTTTTTGCTCCTACCTAGATATTCCTGTCTTTATTTCAGCTCCCTCTTTCTCAAATTGAGTACACCTCACTGCTATTAAGGTTTATTTTTATTTTGCTGTGGTGGTGTGTAAGAAAGGTAAAATTAATGATTCCCATTCTCAGAACAGTGGAAAACACTGAATTAAAATTCTTTGGAAGAAGTTCCCCAACAGATGGATCCAGACTGTCAGAAGTTACATGTTAACTCTGCTGTGACTCTGTTTCCATCACCTGGTTTCAAGGAGCAGGTTATTCTGTGTGAGGTAGACCTCAATATTGCAATCTCTGTGTCAGGCCCCTTCAGACAACGCTCTGCAGCTTCTGTGGGCTGTTTGTAAGGCCCCCAAACGGTGGCCCAGCAAAGCCAGTCAGGTCTTACTTGCCTTAAGAGGCAGGGAGGACAGGAGCTTACATTACCTCTTTTAAAGACTTCAAAATTCCTGAGACCAAAGTCACCATCAGGTCAAAGATAGCAGATGAGCGAGTGAGAGATGATTTGAGTGCGAGCAGGTTTGTCTTCTGTGGGGTCCTATACAGTGAATGTATATGAAAATTCCATTACTGGGAGGGAAAGGGGCTCCCATTCCCCCCTGCTTCTTCCTACCCAAACTTGAGAGGTCAACAATCTGCTGCTGATTTTTGTACCTGTGGAAATAAATGTTCTGATTCTTGGTTGTTGTCTTACTGGCTCGGGCTCGGCAACAGGAGAGAGAATTTTCCACAGAGAGCTCTGGCTGGGAAGCAGTGATCCATGCAGCAATAAGGGAATGGTTTCAGAAGAGAGAACTAAGGGGAAAATACGTAGGCTTTTGGGCATGCAAGCCCACTGTATTTGAAATTATGTTTTATGTGCTCATTCAAAGTCAGATACAAAGTAGTTCTTTAAATTCAGTATTTTAAATCTCTCTCTCTCTGTCTCCACAGACCAAACCGTGCTCTTGACTCCTGTTCGTTCGCTCGCCACATGCTCTTACAGACCCTCCACCAGCTGTAAGAGACAAGAGATGTGCTGCTGTGCCCTCCCCTCCTCACAGGACTGTCATCAGCAGAGCTGCATGCTGGGAGAGGATCCTGGAGCCCACATGGACATGCTGTCCTTTCTTTTTTTTTTTTTTTTCTTCCTTCCCTGTAGGAGTTTTGTCCTTCCTTCTGCTTCC